TCCTTGTCTTGCTTCCCCTCCCGCATCGCTGTGTGTGTGTGTGTGTGTGTGTGCACTCCCTCCTGCTTCGCTCTTGCCTTTGCGCGTTCGTAGGTGGGCGCAACCGCGCGTTGAGTGTTGCCGTGCGCGTGGATGACTGCGGCGTAGTCGGCGCAGGGCGCTGCGGGTGGGAGTGTTGCCCTGAGGCGCGGCGCAGTCAGCCGCAGCGACGCGGCGGGGAGTGAGGGGCCCCTCTGGCCCGCCGCTGCTGGCAGCGCCCCGTGCGGCCCCAGTCGCGCGGCAAGACGTCCCTCTCGCGGGGCCCACGTGCTGGGCGCCCTGCGTGTTTGCGTCGTGGCGGGCGATGCGGCGGCGCCCCTCCTCCTCCTTTTCGCGGGTGGGCAGCCGCCTGGAGAGCTCTGCTCCCTCCCGCCCCGGCGGGTTGCGGCACAGCATGCCACAGCAGCGGGGCGGTGACATTTTCCCGCCGTGGGCGGGCGATAACTGCGCGTAGCCGCGCACGCACGCAGACTCAGGCGCGTGGGGGTGCGAATGGCGAGCGCGGTGCGAGAGAAGAGAAGGAGCAGCACCGCGGTTGCGGTGCGCCCTGCACTTCACACGGATTTCCCTGCAGCATCTGAGTTGCCCTCACGTCGCTTGCGTGGGAGTTTGCCGTGGTGCACCGCTCCTGCGTCGTGTGGGGTTGGGAGTGCCAGCCTTGTGTGTGGACGGTGGCCCTCTCCCTCCCTCCCCCTCTTTCTCTATCTTGCTGTGTGGCTGCGTGTGTCCGTGTATGCGCCTATTCTTTTTTGCCCCTTCCCTCTTGCCTCTCTCTTTTTGGCTGGCGGCTGTTGTTCGGCCGCGGCTCAAGCCAGCAAATGCCACCAACGCGAAGGAGGGAATTCAGGGCAACAGCGCCTGCAGGGCAAAAGAGGGCGCGTGCTGGAAATAAGAGGGGAGGTCGCGCCACTAGAGTGCCGCGCCGGGGCGGGTGCCGGGCGAGGGGGCAGTCGGAGTCCGGGGGCGGCCGGCGCTGGAGTTGAGCGCGGCGGCGGGGAAGGAGGGGGCCCCACTTCGTCTCGTCTCGTCTCGTCTCGTCTCGCCTCGCCCGCGGCCCCCCAGTGGAGGGCCATTCCCTTCGCCGGAGGAGAGGCGGGCGCGGCGGATCGCTCGGGGCGACCCTGGCCGGGGTCGCTCGACACCAAAGAGCAAAAAAAGCCAGAGGTGGGGCGGCGCCTCTTGATTGGAACGCCGGGGATCGGGAAATCGATGACCGCGGGCTCCTACCTCCTTTACCAGCTGCTGCACCACGATGCCGCGAAACTCCAAGTGGTTGTCTACTGCTTTGGAAGGGGCATTGCTTTTTTGTTGGGTAAGAGCCCCAAAGCGATGTCGCGTTTCCCTCCTTTGGGCTCGGGGA